TGGGAAAAAGAAGCAGGTATAACTATCTCAGAGGAAGATTGGTTGCGGATGTGGAAGAATGTGTTATCTACCACAAATTCTTTAACATGGCGAGATTTTGGATGGAAGAATTTAATTAGATTCTTCATCACACCAAAGCAGAAATCCAAAATAAGTGGTTCAGGCGCTTCATGCTGGAGGGAGTGCGGGGAGGCCGTTGCAGGTTGCTTCCATGTCTTCTGGTCATGCCCTAAACTGAAGACCTTTTGGGAGGAGATTAAACAAATGGTGATGGATGTGCTGGAAGTAACACTGGACTTCTCCTTTAGTACCATGTACCTTGGGAATATCCCTGAGGATATAAATAACAGAGACTCATACTTACTGAAAATAATTATGGTTGTATGCAAAAAGGCAATTACTAAGTGTTGGTTACAGACAAGCCCCCCCACACGGAAGCTGGTCATAGACATTATTAACACAATTCATCATATGGAACTGATTACCCTCTCACTGCGGCTACAGAAGGAGAAAGGAGAGAGACTTTGGGAATGATGGGATCGTTATACGTCAAGAGACTAGAAACTGATACATCTGTGATGCAGAGGGACCGCTGCGAATTTGTTTGAATGGAACATACACATATTACATATTACACATGTGCAAGTAAAACAAGGCATTGTGTATTTTGGAATATGTGAACATATGTGAATGTGTTGGTTTCCCTTGCCCTCTTTAGTTCTGTATGTAAAATAAGACAAAAATCAATAGACATGGTCCAAGACATGGACCCATGCATTTCCATTTCATAGAGCCGAAATGTGACAGTTGCAGGTATAGCACTTTTTGTAGTAAAGCTGTTAGCAGTAATTGTAGTAGTCTAAGACGTTTCACCTCTCATCCAATGAGAAGTCCAGACGGTTTTCTTTCCAAGCTCCTTAGACTACAATGACATGGATGACTGAGAACTTTTACTGGCATAGTAATTGTAGTAGCTCCCTTGAAGGTATCACTAGTCTCCTGCACTAGTATTCAAATTAAAAACGAAAGCTTATCTTATGCTGAAAGGCCAGTAAGTTAATGTAGGAGATACCATATATTTGCCTGTTCAAATGGCTGCAGCCAACAGTTACAGCACCAATGTAAAACAGTCTATTCTATAATCTTTTTTTTTAATGTCCATGTGGGCAAAAACTAGCTTTGGAGGGGGTGGGGGATTTTCATACAGGAAAATAAACCTTAACAGTTTGTATTTTAACACAACTCATGATCTTTTTCCATGTATACAAAAATAAATATTAATATAGAATAAATAAGTGAAATACATTTCTAATCAATAACAGCTGAAACTAATTTAAAAAAAAAATGTATGTGTAAGTTATCTGATCCTCCCTTCCTCCACTTCTATATGAAGGTTTTCTGCTTTGTGAATTTGGACATAATTCACTACACATGACTGATGCAGAAGTACAGAAACATGTATCAACACATGAAGGGTCACGACTATTTCACAAAATACTATGAAACTGGTTTGCTTTCTGACTTTGCATTTTATTCAAACTGACCAGCCAGACTGAAAGAGTCTTTGAAAGAGTCACAGCAGCTTAAAAAAAAGTGTTTGAGTTCAGGCAGCACACAGGTTGGTCAGTCTGGTCTTACATTGTCAGTCAACTGCTCTGTCTACCAGTAGCTGGTGTTTCACTTGTCTGGTATTCCTGCCAATTCCTTTCTGTGCCCCGCTCATGTATTGAGCCATATTGCATGTTCATCTTAGCTGTTATGATGCCTGGCAAGAGCTTCCATGTGGTACTGAGGCAGGTTATTGGCCAGTAGCTGGATGCCACCAGTCCCTTCTCTCTTTCTGCCATGTCATGACACTTGTGACATTCATTTGCTTTCATACTTTAAGTCCATGTCTAGTGGAAGTGGCAAATAGTTGCTGTTGTATTCATTTAACCTTGATACAAGTGCCTTTCCAAATCTGAGGTAAAACTGGAAGCAGCCATGCATTTCCACAAAGCCAGCATACATCAGACACTTTTTGTCTGGGTTTTGCCGTGGAATGACAGATGGGCGCTTTTCCATCTGTGCAGTCTTTTGTGATTTTTACTGTTGTAATCAGTTTGACATAACAACATCAATAACTCTATAACAGTGGTTTTTAGGTATTAACACATTACATTTACTGTGCACACATCAGAATCACACATATTATACTGTATATATATAATAATATACAACATAATCTTGTAATAGGTTGGAAGTGTGAAAAAAAAATCAAATCAAAATTTATTTATATAGCATATATTGAAAACAACAAAGTTGACCATAGTGCTTTACAGTCAGTAAAAGCACGAGACAATTAAAGCAAAACAATACAAACAGGACAGGAAACAATAGGTGACAACACAACAAGCCAGATAACAGCCAACTAGTTAGAATCAAAAGCCAAAGTAAAAAGAGAGGTTTTAAGACGTGATTTAAAAGACTGGATAGACTCGGCGGTACGAATATGAACAGGGAGGTTATTTCAGAGTCTAGGTGCTACGGTTGCAAAGGCCTGGTCACCTCTCGACTTCAGTCGAGACCTAGGATGTGCTA